TTCCAAGTCACCAGTATGGTCCCATCACTTCTCTGCCTCACGCTCTTCACTGGCTCCCCATCACCTCCACAGTAAAACCCACACAGCTTAGCATGGCCTCCAGGGTCTGTCCACTACTCCAAACTCGCTGAAGATCGGAGGCTCCCAAATGTGTGCTTCTCCTTCCTGCCTCTGGGCCCTTGCATGTGCTGCTATCCATCCTAGAATGCTTGCCTGCAGCCTTCTCTTCATTCTCTGCTCCCTCCATAATTCCGATGTGTCCCTCACTTCCCACCTAAACCCCACATCCTTGAGAAGCTGCCTGCTACCTCCGCCCAGACCAGGCGAGGAACCCTTGCTCAGTGTTCCTGTTCTCTCCCTCCTCCTGTGAAGTCACTGACCGCTCTGCTTTGGTCACCTAGTGCCCCCAGTCACAAGCTCTGTGATGGCAGGGACCAAGCAGCCCTATGAGGGACACTAGTCCTGAGCAGTGTCTGGCCTGCACTGATAGATGCTCCAGTTGAGTGAGTGGATGAATGAATGAATGAGCACATGCACACAAAGAATAAAACTAGATATCCCCATGCGGAGGTGTAATTCTTCTCTGTCTCCTTCCTTTCTTTCCCCCATGTGACATACGTTTCCTATAGAAACCCCCTATCCCAGAACTAAGCTGGAATAAAAATAATCAGAGCTAGCATTTAAATACCCAGGCACTCTGCTAAACCCTTTACAGGGGGTCTTAGTTACTTTTCTCTCATTTCTGAGACAAAATACCCAACTCCCAAAGTCAAAGGGGGACAGGTTTATTTAGCTCATAGTTTGTAGAGGTTTCAGTCCATGATCAGCTGGTTCCAAGGCAGGGTGGCACATGGCAGAGGGCAACAGCTCATGGCGGCAGACTATAGCAAAAGCAACAAGAGATCCTAACAGCATCTTTCTGCCCCTTTTATATTCTGTCTAGGCTACTTGGATTAGGGTGATGTCAAACCAATCAGTGGACTAATTTAAAAGTCACACACCCTTAATTCCAGCATCGCACAACCTAGATTCAGCCACCTCTGAAAAAGCCCCATCTAAGACTGCATGAGGCTCTGGGAAGACATCTAAACACAAACCATAACACATGGGTTACTTCTAAGAATTTTTAGTGGGAAATTGCTGTTCGCATTTCACAGACTAAGAAGTCAAGGCATGGAAAAGTCATTTGGTTTTCCCAAGGCCTTCAGCTAATAAGAAATGGAGTTGGCTTTTCATATCCTGGTGGTCTGATCTGACAGTCCACTCACATCCCTCCACTCCACTCCTTGTTCTTATCCAGCCTTATGTTTCTGTCAAGGAAACTGAAGGCTAAACAACCCAAGGTCACACAGCAGATTTATGGAGAGCTGGGGTTGGATCTGAAACCACACTCTGGCTTCAGACTCTCACTTACATTGCCTGCCCCCTGTGGACAGTCCCCAAGCCCAGAAGATGCATCTCCTTTCTTTTTCTCTAACCCTGACCACCTGCACACTCCAAGGTGCTCCCTGAAAGCTCCTCTCTCAACTTCTGAGAGACCCCACAGGCTTGAATATATACACAGGGCTCTCTGTCCATCACCAATTCCTGCTTCCAAGACTGCAGCTTTTAGCAAGCTACAGCTCAGCATTTAGGAAGCTCGAGATTGGCTGGACAGTCATTCAAAATCCCTTTCTGCCTCATAGCCCTGCTTCCAGCTGCTTTCCACTGTGCTGTCTTTCTGTGTAACCCCCCTTTTGGCTTCTGCCTGGACATGGCCACTCCTAGCACTGGATGTCAGAGATGAGAAGCCTCAGAATACAGGGCAGCGGGGGCTGGGGGGGTCACAGGGAGCCAGGATCGCAGGGGAGGGGTTCTGGGCCCATCCTTCACCCTACCTAGAGATGCTCAGCTGCCCACCTGTTTCAGGTAGCAGAGCTGCATATTTGCTTTACTGGGACAGAGGGTTCTGACTGAAGAGTACCCCTAGCTGCCTAAAATGGGCTCAGATCCTCAGCAAGTCTGAGCTCCCTCCAAGCCAGGTGTTCACAGCCATATCCACCAGTGAGATGAATTTCATCTTCACTCTCTTGTTGTCACCTTGTGGATATTTATAGCATTATCATGTCCACCAGAGAGCGTAATGGGCTTTTTAGGCTAAACCAATTAAACTCTCTTCCCATAAGTCATGTCTCCTGCATGGCTTCTGCCGCCCTTCTTTGAACCTGTTCTATCTTCATTATCTCGGCTCCTCGTGGCAGGGGAGGGCACAGCCTAGGCGTTCACGTACTGGTTCCTGGACGTTTGCCTCTCTCTAGCCTAGACAGGTCCCTCTTCCCACCACCCCTTTCAGTCCCTGGGCTGTGCAGACATAATCCAGAGCAAGGCAATACCATTGACCCTCTGGTAAAGGAAACAGAATGTACTCAAGAAGAGGTGCTTGGTCTTTCTCTTCTTTTAATCTTTGCTACCTCCAAATATCAAACAATATCAACAATGATCAACAAATACCAATTGCCTAAGTATATACATGATACACTGGGCCAGAAAGTGGAGGCTGTAACCTGCAGTGCCTGCGTTCCAGATGGGCCCTTGGGCACCTACAGCCTGGTGGAAAAGTGCTGGGTAACACTGTGACCCCTAAGGACTCCTGGGGCTGTGGCAAGGGATTCTTGAGCTTAAAGGCAATGATAGTATGTTTCCATTTCTTTTCTAAACCATTAACAGTCATTCTTCCAAAGGAAAGGGCCTGAGCGCTCCAAAGGCTTGCCATAAGCACCCCTTCCAGCTTTAGTGGAGATCATATCAGTCTGGCAGTGACTCAGTCTCCAGCCACTGGCTCATCACTCAGCCAAGCACCACTAACCATCCCAGTGGGTCTCACCATCACGTGGTGTAAATTCTTTTTATGCGCAGTCATAGCTAGTTTAATGTATACCCAATATGGATCACTGGTTTAAGACAAGAAACATAAGAAATACTGAGATGGAAATACAGTATCAAATTAAGGAGGAACATAAAACATAGAATAATTCTGTAAATTTTCCTACTACTCTATAAACCAATGCTTAAAAAGGAAAACACAGTAGCAGTTAGAGCCAGTTTGGCTTTTTTGATTTTTAAGGCTAAAGATGATCCATTCCTGTAATGTATTTTTGAGGAGTGCTTGCACATAGCAGTTGAGAACTATCCCTTTAATCTCAGTATCCAAGAGGAGGAGAATTCTTCACATTTAAAAAGAGTTGATTTTTCAAAACACAAAATTTCAAGAATTCCAAATATGAGGTCCTAAAAGCAGTTTCCATGCTGTAACTTACAATTATTATCTGCATTTTAAAACACATTTGGTTCTCAAATGAAACATGTATCAAATTATAATTTGTCAACAAATCGCCTTTTTGCACAATTAAAGTAAATTAGACAGCATTTATCATTTACTTAATAAGGAAAATGCCCAAATTCATTTCTATATGTTATGGATATAAAGAATGATTAAAATAAACTTTATAGTACATTTTTAATAATACACTGATACAAAATAGAATTACTGTATCTAAAAGCCACTCCAGATCCTACATAAAAATTACAACACTGCTTTAAATCACTTATTAGTGTTGCTGTCTAAATTCTTCTGTTCTCTTTGGAGGCCCCAGGGTAAGTATGCACTTTTTGTTCCCACCCCCATCTTGTGCTTAGGATGAGGCCATGTGGCACTTCTAGCCAAAGAGTTGGAGCAGAAGGTTCGAGACCCCCAAGAGCTTCTTTTCCTCCTGGAGGGGATTGGCACTCTTTGATATGTGGCTGTTCCATCAGCCCTTCCCCTTGAGCTGCTGTGATGAGCATGGCTCTGACTGACTTATGTCAGATGTATACACTGAGTAAGAAAGAAAACCTTGTAGTTCTAAACCACCGGGGACTATTCGTTATTGTATCTTAACCAAACCTGTCCCAACTTATAAAATTCCCAGGTGAGAGTACGTGAGATTATCTACCAATTTCCACTGAGTAACAACAGATCACCTCTGTCACCAGGAATAACAGTATAATGGGACAAGCTTGGGTGTTGGGGATAAACACCCTGTGCAATCCTGGACTCACCACTTGCTGGCTGTGTGGTGTAGGCATGTTACTTAAACTCTCTAAACTTAGTTTTTTCATCTTTAAAAATAGCAGCACAATATATACACAATAGCCAACTTGATTGGCTATTAAGGGAATCAGAAATAGCATATTCAAAAGATCTTACAGCATGTATAATCCTTAGACATGCTAAAAATAGAAACTATTATAAGATAGCTTAGTAAAATTCTACTACACTCATCTTCCCAGCAGTCCTTTCCCACATCCCTTTCTGACTCCTCCCACCATAGCTATGTGGTTTTAGCAAGGTTGCCAATCACAGTGTCCTGGTTGAAGGATGAGCATGTAACTGAGTTTCTCCAATCCCCTCCCCATTCACAGGATTGGGCATCTGACCCAGACAGGGCCAATAGGAACCTTCTATGCTCTCTGACATAAGAGTAATGAGAGAGAGGCTCCTCCTCCAGGGAGAGCGACTGGTGATGAAACAAGCCTGGAGTTGGCAGTATTCACACGCTCTCCCCTGGAGAGGAAGATTCTTCAATGGAAGAGCAAAAGGTTCCATAAAGAGAAGAGAGCCTGAAGATGGGGTTATGGGGAGGGAAGAGAAAAAAAGGGAGATAGGAAAGGACAGAAGGAAGAGAAAAAAAGGGAGATAGGAAAGGACAGAAAGAAGAAGCTGGAGGAAGTGAGAGAGAGGCAAGGGAGAAGAGAGGAAGAAGAGAGGGACAGGAAGAGGCAGAGGGAGAGGAACTCATCATAGTGGCTCTTCTCCAGCCCTTGGATGTTGCTCTATCCACCTTGTCCAGTACTAATGCCATCTCTTTCTTCCTAGACACACGAATCAACAGACTTCTTACATAGAGCTTAAGCAGGTCTGAGCTGAGTTTCTATCATTGGCAATCAAAAGCATCCTGGTGAATCCAGACATGAACACTCACCAAGCAAAGCATGCGCACACAACCTTGGTGCAATCCAGGCAGCATGTATGTGATCAGCAGCTCAGGAGCCATGGCAAAGGTGTGGCAGAATTCTGGGGGAGGAGCAATCATGCCCAACTGGCTAAGGAGGTCTTCCTGGGAGGTGGTATTTGAAGCAAAGCCTTGAAGAGGGGTAACAAAGGCTGTTGTATTTATTTATTTTACCTTTTCAAACACTAATGAGAGCATACACACTCTCCCCAACCTCATCTCAGATCCAGACAACAGAGCCCAAAAGGGATGTGAATCTCCTCTACTTTCCCACTTCTAAAAGCTAAATTAAAGAAAACATTTCAGAAAGTTTCCAGAGAGAGCTTTTAGAAGCCCTGGAATTTCCTCACATAGCCCCAACCTCCACCCAAATACTAACAAAGTGGTAGGTGCCAACAAAGTGGTAGGTGGTGTAGAAGTAAACAAGGCTGCCATGTGTTCCTCTCAGCATTATGGAACCAATAACCCATTGTCTGTGAGTGGGGAACAAGACACCAGAGATATTGGTGAAGCCATGTAAGGAAGCAACAGGAGTGGAGATGCACTGTGACTGTGGAACAGGGCAAGGACATGTGTCTTAGGCATTCCTAGCCTGTCTGAAGAGTAACCCTTCCTTTAGGACTAGAGAGAAAGAGGCTACCAAGAGGGAGATGAAGCTGCCTGGCACAGGGACCTGAAAGTTCCAATGCTCAGAGGTGAGAGGAGGACAGATATTATGAGCATTGGAAGAAGAAAGCAGAGTCACATGATAGAGTATAATAAGGACGAGAAGGTTAGAGGGCACAAGGGCAGAGGAATAGCCAGTAGTTCAATTGTTGAAAGCCAGGAAAGCAGTTGGAATTTATTCCAAGGGTGTGGGAAGCGCTACAAAGAGTTAATCATAGTGAAGACAAGATTCTCCTCTTCCTATGGCTTTGAGCCCAAATCCTAACTTTTGCTCCATCAGTCTCTCCTCATGGAAGGACCTAGCGGGCTCCTCTTGGGGCCCAGTGTCTTCCCTGGTGACAGCTAACTCTCACCTTATGGCTCGTGCCAGTTTGAACTCCTTACCTGCAGATCATTTTCTCTAAGATCAGGGCCTGCCCTAAACTCACCACTTCTCTGGGTTAAAGTTTCCCATGGTGTTGTCCCTAGAACATCTAAATTAGAGTCATCCAAGGAGCCTGTGCAACACTAACTCCTAATATCCGCCTCACAGAGGTTCAGAGGCAAACCTGAGGTTCTAAACATTGTCTTTGTTACTTTTCTCTGGTTGCTGAGACAAAATACCCAATGCCCAAAACTAAGGAAGGAAAGGTTTATTTAGCTCATAGTTTGTAGAGGTTTCAGTCCTTATCAGCTGGCTCCAAGGCAGGGTGGCAGGGCAGAGGGGTAACAGTTCAAGGCAGGAGAAGACAGCAAAAGCAATAAGAGCAAAAGGGGAGAACAAGCCTGTTTTCCTCTTATATTGTAAGCAGACTACCCCTCCTCAGGGCAAGTGTAGCACTCACATGATCTCCATGTCCTCCTCTTGCACAGGATGAGGATGTTTACAAAGTAAGGACTGCCCTGGCTCCCTGCTGAATTGCTTACTTAAACTTCTCAAGTTGGCACAATGTATCAGCCATTACAATCTACCCTTTGTCAACTTGGCAACAGACACATTTCTTTAAGCTGGTTTCCAGATACAAAGATATGCTTATTCTTAATGTTGCACAACTTGAACACTATAACACAGGTTGACCAGTCCTAAAGAACCAGTAGTAAGTCTATCAACATTATATTACTTTAGAACTGTAACATTCTGCCCCTGTCCCCCTACAAGACTCATGCACATACCTTTATGCAAAAAGCATTTAGTTCATCTTCAAGAATTGCCAAGGTCCTAACAGCTTCAGCCTTGCTGAAAAGTTCAAGTCCCTAGTCTCCTCGGAGATGTAAGGCAAATTCTTAGCTGCAAGCCCCTGTACAAATGAAAACAAAGTTACATATCCAACATTCAATGGAACAAGATGAACATTTTCATTCCAAAAGTTACAAACAGGGAAATACAAAGGACTGGGACCAAAGCCAGTCCAAAATCCCACAGGGCAAACATTAAGTCCTGCAGTTCGATGTGCACCACCTGAGGCAATCTGTGGCAAACTGTGAGCTTCAAAGGCTTGGATAGCTCCACCCCTACAGCACTTCTGGGGGTTATAGCTCCCCTGGCTTCCTCTTGGTTCCACTTTGCTCCCTCCTTGCAGCTTTCTTTAGATGATCCACGTTCCAGGCTTTTCCAAATTTCTGAGGTCTCCACTGTACCACTGGCTTTACCCTCACAGCTTCACACATTGCCCTCTCAGGGCCACACTGCCTGACCTCCTAGGCCTTCTTAAATCAGGGTAGAAGCCTTTTTAACTCCACAACTCTTGCTTTCTGCATGTTCCTAAAACCAGCACCATGTGGATGATGCCAACTGGAGCAGTAGCCAGGCTTTTCTCTCTCTTAGTTGTAAGGGTCGAGTGCCTAGATTGCTGGGCACTCTGAATCAAATACTGAGGAACAAATTTTGTATGCTGCCACCATTCTGGAACATGGTGCTGTATGGCTTTCTCTTCAAAGCAAAGTCTCACTTTTGCACTTTTGAGGCTACAAAGGGTGGAGGCTTGTTGTGTCTTGTGATGCCCTTAGGCCATCTTTTATATTCTTCTGTTCCTTCTCAGCAATGGAGATCTCCTCAGCTCTGTCATTGCAGTCTGCAGCTTTACTGGAGCTTCCTTTGTGACCAAACTCACAACGTTTTAAATGATTCTACTGGACTCTGTGCTCTTGATTCACAACATAGATCTGGCTAAAAGCTCCCAACAATAGCCATGCAACAGCCTCAACGTTCAACTGCCTTGAAATTTCTTCTGTCAGATTAATTAGTCAGCTGCCCTTAATCTCAGTCTCAAACAAATTCTCTGGACAGGAGCAAAATGCATGCAAACTTTCTGTCAAGCCATAATATATATCATCTGGAGTCCAGCAGCCGATGCAGTCCTTCTTCCCAGCAGAAACCTCTTGAATCTGGCCTTTACTGGCAGGATTTCTATCAGCTTTCTGGTCTTCTGAGCTTTGACCAGAATCTCCCATACAGAACAGGCTAAGGCGTTCCAGTTCTACTCTTTCAAGTGACATCTCCAAACCTTTCCAAACTCTTCCCACAAGCCATTTCCAAAGGCTCTTAAACCACATGGTCAGGTATAGTCACAGCAATGACCCTACTTCTCTGGTACTAAATTCCGTCTTTGTTACTTTTCTGTCATTGCTGAGACAAAATACCCAATGCCCAAAATTAAGGAAGGAAAGGCTTATTTAGCTCACAGTTTTTGGAGGTTTCAGTCCTTATCAGCTGGCTCCAAGGCACAGGGGCAGCAGTTCAAGGTGGCAGAAGACAGCAAAAACAGCAACAAAGCGAGTGGGAACAAGCCTCTTTTCTTCCCTTATATTGTAAGCAGGCTGCCCCTGCCAGGGTGGATGTAGTACTCACACCATCTCCCTGCCCTCCTTTTGCACACGATAAAGATGTTTACAAAGTAAGGACCCTGGGCTGGGAATTTAGCTCAGCGGCACAGCATCTGCCTGGCAAGCATGAGGTCATGAGTTTGATTCCCAGTACCAGAAAAAAAAACAAAGTAAGGACCCTTGCTCCCTGTTCAGTTGCTTAGTTAAACTTCTCAAGTTGACACAATGTATCAACCATTACAAACACGTAGATGCTTCTGAAGGCTTCAGAAGAACTTTAAAGGGTGAGGGGGAGTCCTCTCTCATTTCCACCCCTCCCTAGGGCCAAATCCTTGCTTACTGGATTATCTGTTCTGCTGTCCTGCCAGACCTCCAAACAAGGAGCACCTGTTCCATCATTGCCCAGCTCCCCAGGCCTATCTACTGGGCCCATGTCACAGTTATTTCTAGTATTTTTTTTTTTTTTTTTTTTTTTTTTT